AATAAATGTTTTATTACTTGTTAATAATGAGAATTCGTTATTCATCAGATATCATTAACCTAGATCTAATCATAAATTTCTTACTTATAATAATCTCACTCTTGATGTGCCCAATTGATATGATTATTCCATTGTTGTACATTTTGATCTCGTTCGCTTTCTGTCCAAAATTGAGAATTGAATCGCATATTCTTACATAATGAACATAGGTCACTTCGAGGTGACAAAAAGTGAATTTCCGGTACGTATTTTTTCCAAATTCGTATAAAAGACCATCGACTAATATGAAAATCAGAGGTTTCATCTAAACTTGATTAATAAATACAATATAATCTGACATATCTTTCACTTGCAGGAAGAAATGTAATAGCTATAGTATCTTCACAGAAATGGCGGCCTAATAAATATTTTATTAATTAAAAAATATACACATTTATTGTTATTACATACTTATAATTTCTAAATTTTTATTTATTTATTTAAAAAAGGTAAGGTAGCTAATATTGCTATGTCAATTACCCGCGACGGCAACCCATGATAATTAGCATAATTAATAATGAATGTAAGAACATTTAAAATAATCGCAAAAGATAAAGCATGATGAATAGATTTTCTTTCCGAAAGTGCATATATAATTGGTTTAATACCATTAGCCCGATAATAATTACGAATATTTTTCCATTTTTTTTCTGTTAGCAAATATATAGTTTGAAAAGCTTTCTCACAAATTTCATCATTATCAAAAGTATATTTAACGGTTAAATATTGTTTTTCTTTACTATGTAAAGTTTCGTTAGAACGAACCATTGCATAAAGCATCCCTAAAAGAAACATATTATACTCTGTTTTTGATAATTTTCACATACTATCGAAAATTTGAAATGCTAATTCATGATCAATTTTAGTTAAGCACATTTTATTTTTACAACAAACGAATGTACTTAATTTTAAAAAAAAAGCATCCTTTTCTTGCTGATCTAAAAGTATTGTTAATTGTTTATTAATTTCTTGTTCCTCATTGCTTTCCTTAATTGTATGTTGAGCAAATATTTTTTGAAATTTTTCAAGTTGAAAGAGCGTAAGAATTTGATTATCTAATTGTTGAGGTTCCTTATCTTGTATATTGTCAAATTCTACGCTTTCAAGAGGAGAT